TTGAAGCTTTTCTCACAGAAAAATTTTGAGTTTTCGAAAAACTTCATTAAAAGTCTTTTGAAGCATTTTAACTCACATACACAAAAGTGTTTACAAATTGCTGGAAATGTGCATATCAACGGCTTGAGAGATCTTTCAAAAAATTTACATTTGTGTAATTTTTGAAAAAACAAAAAATACACCGAAATGAACTATACGTCATATTAAAGAGTGAAATTAGCACTATCCATTCTAAAAGTTTAAAGAAAAAAATTAGAGCTGTTATTGTGAAATGACGTTTTACAGTTTTTGAAATTGCGGAAATTTGAGGTTTAGAGAGAAAAACGGTTGAGTTTTCGAGAAACTTTATCTGACATTATTTAAAGCACATGTGCTCATAAATACATTAAGGCGAACAAATCTTGTTTCTGAATTTTTTTTAAAATTGCACGCAATATTGTACGAAAGCGACTAAAATTTTCAAAAAAATGTACTTGACCTGAATGAAAGATATCATTATGGGAAAAAATTAATTTGAAGGAAGAATCTAAATCTTCAGTTTTTTAGTTGTAGGAAGACACCGCAAAAAATTCATACTTTTGAAAGTTTCGGAAATTTAGTGTTAACCGTGAAAATAGGATCTATGCCACCTTTGTAAGTGTATGTTACTCAATTCTTAGAATACATTTTATAAAAGAATTTGGAGTCGCTTTTGAGAAAATTTTGAAAATTTCCGGGGGGCTTCATTTAAAGTACCCACAAATTTTAAATGTTTTTCAAAATCTCAAAGATTCGACTTGATCCAGATGGACAAGGGTTTCTACAATTTGGAAAAAATCGTATGCTTGTTTTAGGCACTAAAGGTGTTCACAGACGGATAGACTGAAGTACGTTTTGAAAATAACCACTTTTTCGGTATTTCCCCAAAACGTGTATTTCCGTTGAAATCTTCAAAGCTATTTTCCGCATTCTTTGTTTTTTTCAAACATTATCAAAATGTTATTTTGTTAATTCTCTCACGTCGTTAATATTTATATCAGCAGCAATTCGTTCACGTATTTTTGAGTACCTATGCCTTAAATAATATTGTATAAAGTTTTTTGAAATCACCGTTTTCTGTGAAAATGAGCTCAAAATTCTGCATTTTCAGGAATGCTCACACCTCATTTTCTCAAAAACGGCTCCAAATATTTTCTTCAAACCTTTTCGAATGGATAGTGCTAATTGCACTCTTTAATATGACGTTAAGTCAATTTCGAGGTAATTTTGTTTTTTCAAAAGTTACACAAATGTCATTAACTTGAAAGATCTCATACGCCGTTAATATGCACATTTCCAGGAATTTGTAAACCCTATGGTATTTATGAGAGGATATACTTCAAATGATTTTTCGTTTTCAAAAACATGGCAACGTTTCGCGACGCAGTTGAGGGATTCATTCACTGCAAAGTGACTTGTGAGAAGCAGATACGAGCTCGGATTCACATTACACGGTTGATATAATTAAAAAAAATGGCGTTGACATCGTCATTACATCTGCACTTTTCTTTTGAAGGAAAAATATACGAAAATATCTGACTTCGACCCACTGACGTAATTTCGGCCAATATGGCATCTATGCACTGCACTCAAAAGCTTCAATTTTTCCGTTGTGTCACAACGAAAAGTTTGAGTTAATGATTAAATTAGAAATTAGGAAATAATAGAAACCGTGACATTCGTTTTGTTGTTTACGACTTCATTTTTTGCGAGTTTTTAATTTTTTTCTTTTTGTTTTTAAAGAATGTAATTCTGCACGACCAAGTATTTATTTGTCAGATACTACGTTTTTACGACTAGTAAACTGATTAACATGAATAACTTATTTAAAAAGTAATTAATTGAAGTGATGAGAAAATAAAACATTTGTTTGAAATGAAAACAAATGAAAAAGTATTTAAATAAAATGTAGATTAAATTCTAGTGAGCTTTTTTTTAAAAAAAATATTTGTATTTATACAAAAATATTATCTGTTTTTTTCTTTCTCGCTACAAAGTAGAAAGTTATGTAATGCTGCCCGAAAATGGCGAATTTTTAACAAAAACTCTATTTACAGGGCCCTGGCAACGAAAAAGTGGGTAAATCCAGTAGCTAAATTTAGGAAAAATGTAATAGGTAATGTAGCCAAAATCCACGTTTTGGGCGTCCTTGATACCGAAAAATCGAATGACGACAAAACGAATATCTGTCCGTCTGTGAACAATGCTAGCGGCTAAACCGATCAGCCGACATTCTCAAAAATTGATATTCCCCAATCGATCTGTTTGATATGGCCCCATGAATTTGAAACCGATATTTTAATTTTGGTGCATACTTTACATGAAGCTCCTGGGTAATTTTCAAAATTCTCAAGAAAACGGGTTCTATTGTTTTTGATAAAACTTTCTTATTGGATAGTGTGAAGGACGTTTGCATTGCGTTCCCTGGAATTTAATTTTGAGGGGTACTTTGCATGGGACATTTTCAAAAAAACAATTGCTCCATCGCTTTTTATTACATTTTATTGTTGAATAGTGTGAAAGAGAATGGCGCAGGTCTCGTGTTTGTTAAATTGCCTAATTTTTCGAAAATTGCAAAAATTGTCGGAGTCTTCCACAACTAAATTATTAAAGATAGAATTTTTCCCCTAAAGAAATCTGTTCCTTGAAGATAAATTTTGAAATAAGATCATGTACAATCTTTCGAAAATATAAGTACTTGTTGCATATATTTGCGTGAAAATACAGGTAAGAAACTTGCTGTTTTAGCACCAGTAGTTGTAATAATGTAAAATTTTCAAAACAGAAAAACTTTTTATGGATGCTGTTGGAGCTCATACTGTGCATATTTCTTTAGCTCAGGGCTTCCCAACGGGGTCGGCGTAGACACCCTAGGGGTCAATGAAATTTTGAAAGGGGGTCAATTGGGGATCAATGGTCACATTTTTAACCAAGTACCTTATGGGTAAAATCAAGATTCCATTGATTACAAAAAATATTAATGAACTTAATTAACCGTTTTCCTGTATAAAGCAACAAAAGATGTAATAAAAAATTACAAATTCAACATTCTTTCGTTACAGTCTTCCATCCTTAGGAATTAGGGTTTAGCAAACTTCAGAAATTGTAACTGTGTTGACGATTCTCTATCGCTCAAGAAAGTTCACTCTCCATTTTCCAATTCATTTAATCATTTTCAAGTGGCAATGAAGTGAACAATGGTTGAAGAGAATTCTTACAGATGTGTTTTAGTATTTTAAACTATATAATTAATACGTTCATAGAACTTCTAATTTTTCCTAATCTTCAGATAATAAAAATCAAATGAGGCATTTTATAGCTTTGTAGGTGCTAGGATAAAAGTATTTTATTTTTATTTTAGTTTAGGTTTCTTAATTATTTTAGTTAGAAAGTGACTAAAGTAGATGGAGGGGCGGGAGGGGCAGGGTATACAGTGGCCTGAGCAAAGTAGCTAAGTTTCTTATGTTAGTATAATACTCGAATATACATAAACAAATGTCCTGTAACAGCAAAAGCTATTTAACTATTGAGGAACACTTTACAAATTCTTATAAAATAATTAGTTTACAAAAATATTAATCTACCAGAAAAATAACTTTCAATTTATAAAATTAAAGCAATCAGAGCAAGATCAGTACTACATTTGGTGAACCGTACTTAGAAAAACATTGTTGTCACGACTGACAGGCTGTAATTGCCAATAAATGTATTCACTAGTATTCACTTTGTTTATGCTTGTTAATTGACATTCATAAGGTTTTAATAATTAATAATTAAATGAAAATAGTAAGGAAATTTCACATCTTACCATATACTAGGGCTACATCTATTTTGTTAACACCTTAAATGTTCATCACAATTGTTACTTTTCCATCCACAGAAAAAATTTCTTTCTGGATCATTACCTTTCATAATGCCTCTCATTAAATGATCTAAACAGGTAACTGCTGCACCTGGGATCATTGATGCTTTATCAAGGACAAAATCACATTCTTTGTGTAAATGCTGGACTTCTTCCAAGTTAGAAAACAAATATTTTCTTACTAAATCAGCTACTTTTGTGAAAATCATCACAATGAGAGAATTCTCTGTTTCAACTACTGAATTACACTCCATTATCATGCATCAGTAAAGAGAACTCTCACTGATCAGCTTGATGATCACATTGCTTGCAAGCTTGTGAGCTGGGTGCCATAGCTTAGTGGTTACAGTGGCAGCCAAGTGCTGCAGGTATGAATCCCATTTTGGGCATGAATATCCCTTTTCCCAACCATCACGTATTACATTCAATACCCCATTCCTTCCCCAGACCTCACCTAGCTTGATAGGTTGTTGAATAAATGAGACTGCCTGCATGCCAGGGAGAAAGTTCTGTATTAGGCTAATGGTCCACCTAAGAGCCACCTGGCCGCCACCAAACCTCTGAACTTGTAATAGGGTTTAAACGCAAGGGTTTATGAGCTACAAGAGCCAGGAGTAATTTCTCAGCTGCAAAGGACATATTGAATCCCAAAGGAGTTACGGAGTGAAGGCTCAAATCAAGATACTCTTGTATGTAAAAAGGCAATGGTATTAACTTAGAAAAGGGAGTGTCAGCGGTTAACTGAAAGATTAAGGACCCCTTCTTACAGCAGCGTGCTTCCGAACGCTGCGGCTCATAGCAAAGAATTGGTTTAAATGAAGGTCTTCCCATTGCGGTGGGTTCATGCTGCTGTGGCATTTGGCAGCCTGTGATATGTCATATTCTACAGTTAGCACACTATTGTTCCAAACAAGGTTTAAAATCCAAGTCCTATTAACTACTACTATAACTTGTGGACAGGTAAGAAAAATCGAATTTGGGATTGGTCTCCTCGAAGATCACAGTCAATTGCATCTTTTCTGCGCCATGTTCACCTGAACTCTACTCTCTACTGAAACTGACTTCAGGCTAGTTTTGATCAGTTCATCTGAGAAAATAAAATCATTAAGCTTTTCTTTACAGAATGATTTATTCATATATTTACATTTTTTCTATTCAATGTCATTCAATGCAATGTTTCAAGAAATTCAATATAAAACATATCAAATCTGAGGAATATTTCAATAATTATTTTAACACTGCATGAAGAACAAACGTCAACCTTTAGAAACAAACTGCAGAAGACCTGCAGTATATATTAACTGAGTAAAATAAACACATAAAAGAAGGGCAAATAATAATCTACAGATTTTTGTTCTCTTAACAATAGAGACTTCAGCTTCATTGCCTATTAAATTCATGAAAAGTAATTTTAAACAACAATTACTGAGAAGAGGTGAAATATGTCAGGTACATCTGCACTTCAAAATTAATTAACAACTGTACAAAGTTACATGTTCCTAAAACATGTAGGAAAATAAATTATTTTATTGAAAATAAAATAAAATATGAATTTATCAAAATGCACCTTCACATTCACATTCAAAATTATGCCTGAAGAATGTATCATTTTGTAATTTTTTTTCTTCATTTTATATCTCTCAATGTTCCTCATTTGTTTGTGGAGTTTGCTGTTCACCAGCACTTTGTTTCTCACTTGTTTCAACTGGTGCTGATGTGTGTTCGGCAATTTCCTTTGCTCTTTCAAATGCTTCTTTCTTCTCTTTCTCATCCTCCAAAAACTTATTCCACCCCTGCAATCTCTTCTGTTTTTCTTCATCAGTTTCAACAATTCTGAAACATAAAGGAATAATGCATTAACATGAGTACTTTCTACTTTATTTTCTATGTAGAACAGAGAAAGAAGGGTAATGTTGCTGGATGGGGGGGGGGGGGATACAGATGTTATATTAGTGGAGCAATTTTTGGTGAGGACCATCCCAAAAATATTTTTGAAATATTAAAAAAAGTTAGTTTGAAATAAAAGAATGCGCAAGTATATTCTTAAAGGAAATATTGTTTTGGAAGTGATAAAATCTACAGGCAGTAATTTTTAAAAAAATTTAAGTAAATTTCAAACATTTTATTTTCTTGAGGGAGGGAGCAAGGTGGGGGTCTGCCACTGCGGCAAATACATGCTGATTTTTGACATGTGTCCTGTTGAGTCTCAACTTTTTTCTCAGATTCAAATTTCCCTAAACTTAGCGAGTTACAAGAGGGGCCACTATTATCCAATGGAATTCCATTAATAAATTCCTTACTGGAGTTTCTTTTTTGGATTGCTTGAAAAAACATGGATACTACAAAATTGAATATATAAAATAGTCTATTTGTTAATTCTAGGGTCTTCAATCAGTCAAAAACAATGATATTTCCAGTAGATTGTTGTGGAAAAATTATACACTGTTACAATATTAAAACTGCTCACTTATAAACAAGACTTTGGGTGGAAATAAAATTCTCTTATTTACAAGTGTTCACAATTCCTAAAAGGTGTAGAATTTTACAGAATATGATATTCAACACATCGTGCATCGTGAATATTTTTTTTATTTTTCTGCATGCGATGAAAAAAATACAAATAGTGAATATAAATCCATAGACAACCATAATAGTGCAGCAGTTGATAAAGTAATTTTTCTTTGCAAAAGGTGAGGAAGAAAAGTTTTTTTAAAAATATATTTTGCATAGATATTATTAGATAACCATAAGTTTTCCACCTCCAAATACTCCGGGAAATTTTTGGCAGCCCGGAAACATGAAATTTTGAGTTATTTTGCGTAATAACTTTGTAATGGTTGATATGGGTACAAAAATTGTCATATACAATTTCAAAGGCCACACAATTCTGTGCAAATTTGCTTCATTATGTATTTTAGATAATATAATAGTAAGAGAGCTAGGAGATCTTAATATGTAACTACATTTTTCTTGATAATCTAAAATTGTCGTAAATTACGAAGGGTCTCTCTAATGTAGTATTTTTGAGCCTTTATTCCTAAAGTTATTACAAATAAAAAGCAATTAAACTAGAAGCGCTACAACAGCACACACTTTCCGTGTGATTGAACATAGTTATGAAATATTAAAATATTGTATTTTCTAAAACTCAGTTATAACTTCAAAATCAATTGCATCTCGTGCTTATCTGCATTTATTTTCATTATCTGGAAGACTAGTAATTTTTATTTTTTTTAGTGGAACGAACATGAATAAATTTAAATTTTTCAATATTTACAGAACATAATATTAAAAAACATTAATAATTTCACACTAGCCTACCTTGATTACATTTGAAGTAATTTTTCAATTTTTTAATGCCACAATCAGTAAAATTTCTTAAAGTATAGAAGTGTGTTTGTTAGTTTTAAGTTAAAATTTATTAGCTTCAATCTATTTCCTTTGATAAAAACACTATCTGCACTATAAAATCTTCATGACTGACAACAATGGAATGAATTCTAAGGAATTTGAAACGGAATGATGGGTAGTGGGCTGGATTCGCCTGTGAGAGGTCCGGGTTCGATTCCTGGGCTGGCTATCCTGGTCGTGGTTTTTGTGGTTTCTCTCAGTCAAAAGACGAATGCTGGGATGGTTCCAAAATTCCGTGAACACCTCCCACTACCCACCTAATACCTCCTATCATCTTCCTTGTCCTTTAACACCTCATCATTACCCAATTATAATAATAGTTACTATAATATAATTATAGTAACGGTCATGTGACTACTACTACTATTACTACTATGTAATACTACTACTACTACTACTACTACTACTACTACTACTAATATTCTATCCCCCCTAATGAAAATTTAAGGCTAACAACCTTGTCTTAACCAAGGGATGAAGCCGAAAGGCTGATCTCCATAATTCCACAAACTTATCTCTCCAGGATAGAATACAACTGGACTTTGGAAA